TGCTATTTCGTGGCTGTTTATAGAAAATAAAAGTAGACTTTTAATTTAATGTACGATACTTACTATGCGAGTGAAATCTAAATATAGTTTACGGACATAAATTTGCATCTAGTGTATTGTTAGAGGAGGAAGTAAGAACTCTGGTGCACCCGTTTCGGAGTTTATTTTCAAAATTTGTTAATTTATAAGTATAGATTTTGTTTATAATTATTTTTTGTTTGCTTGTTTGTTTAAGACTTTGTCGCCAGATTAGGAGACACATCTGTACTCTGCTGAAGGTATACAGAGTAGATCCTCAATAGGTTATTGATAAGCACTGAAATCCACTCTTCTGGATGAGAGTCTTTAGAATTAACTTCTTGTTGAACTAAATGTAATTTATAAAGTAATATAATACGGAACACACACAGAGTAGTCCATTGATAATCAGTTACATAAGTCTCGTGACCAGCTTTATGTAATCTATTTTCATCAATTACACTCAAGTATGTACAGTTAAGTAATTACAAGTATGACCATATCTGATTGCGTATGATGCGATTAATTACGTGGCTGTACGTGTACAAAATTCTCACGACGCTCGGCCTCCTCTGACAACCCGATCTGGAAGAAAAGGGGCCATGCAAGAGATGTTTCGATTGAGTCGGTCAGATGAGAACAGAACTGCTCCATTCATACGTACATTTGAATGGTACCTAGGGTGTTTCATTGTTAATAATAATAATACGAAGTGTAGAGACATTGTGTTCAAAGAAACGTAAAGTCGTCTTACAACTTATATCAAATACATTTTACGTGTAATTAAACCCTCTCATTCCCGTATATGACTAAGTTAATCATCCACCATTTCCTATCTATACAAAATGAAAACTAATGGTTTAAGTCTCGATTTATCTGCTTTTGTGAATAAATCTGTATTCATTTTCGAAAGCACGACAATATAACTGATGGAGTCAAATCATGAAATCGGCCCTAGATTTTAAATGTTTAAATTATCTAAGCACTCCTCAATTTTGTTGGAATTATCCTTTTAAGTGCTTCCTTCTACAAGTTGCAGAAGTAAATTGCAGGTTGCCAGTCTTTGTTGGCACAAATAGTGGTTAGTACACATACGACAGATACTGCTTGTATACTAGGTTTAGAATATAAGTTACAATTAAGGTAAAATATAACTACATGTAAATATTATATAATTCCTGTAGATACATTGTACATTGAAATCTAATTGGGGGGGGGGGGGGATGATATACAACTTATCAATGATATTTCAAGCGATGCACTGAATATTTGAATCATAGGAGAAAGGCGAAAAAATAAATATGGTTATTGAGTTTCATGATTTGTTATCGGTATGAAAGATTTAAAAATTAATTAATTTTTTTTTTTTTTTGCAAACACCAAGGTTTACTTTCTAAGCATCGGCTTGTGTTTTTTTTTAATACCGGCATAAATTAGTATACCTTTCACTTTATTGTTGTTCCTAAGATCACACTTCAAAATTAAATATCACTAATGAATTAATCTTGTCTTCCAAGTATTTTAATAAACCCTATGGTTCAATGAACTTTATTGATCGTGGGATCCGGTTGGAATATAATCACGGATTTTCGGATAATCTGCTTCATATTTATGTAAATTTATAAAGCGTTATGCAGCACTGCTACAAACTGCGTATTCGTGTATAATATCCGCTGACACAGAAAGATACATTGTTTTCCTACTAACACATCAAATTAAAAGAAGATATCTTATTATAATTTTGTTAATTTCAAACACCATACGGGATTGATCGAATGTCACCGACATTATTTCATAACTAGGAACACATTTCCAGTGTATTTATACAGAGGTATATGTTTACAGAGGTATATGTTTTGTCATTATCTGCAAATTTAAGGCAAATTTAAATAATATAATTTAAGTGTAATCAGTAAAACCAGTTTGGTCGAATTTAGCTGGAAAAAATTTAGACTTCGCTCTTCACTTTGAGACTATGTCTTGTTCACATCTGTGAATGTTGATTTAGCAATAATAGTCTATACAATGTTGTATATTGTTTTATTCGCTAAAGTACATGAAAGACTCGGCAAATTATATGTAAAAATTTTATCGCACTCTACAAATTTATTACATCAATTACTTGTATACATTATTTATCTGAAATTTTATCATGTTTATTGCGTATTATCCTGCGATCTAGCTGTGATTTTGACTATGAATCAGACGAGAACTTCTTTGTTACATGTATGCACAAGGTGGGAGCATGATTTATGTTGTAGTCTAATACTTCAAATCTATCTTAATTGAATTTTCTGCAAAAAGCCTATGGTAGCTGCAGATATGTAGCTCGCTTGTCTGGAAAATTGGGATGGACGACTGGTCTGTTAATTTTTTTTTTATGGGGGGGGGGGGGGGTTACAGCTATTTTACAAAATGGCACACTTCAGTACTTGGTATGTTTATTTAATTAAATCATTCTATCGCCTTTCAGTTTTGATGAGTGTTTATAGAAATTTCGGATTTCAGAAGCGAAGACTGATGTGTTTATAATAGGCAGGGTTTCTGATGAAAAGTAATTTAAAGAAAAATTATAATTGTATTTAAGGTTGTCACTCCTGACATTGGCTATTTCAAGGCTTTAATCGTGTAATTTTAAGAAAATTAATGAAACAATACTGTGGAGCCACTAATGTTAATTTTGAGATATGGGTCAAATGCAAATTTCAAGGTGAAAACAAGTTAATTTTAATATATTTGTAACATTTGACAAAGAATGCTGATAAAAAGTGTACACTGAATGTGTTCTAAAAATATCATGTGAAACCTACATTGTATGTTTCTAGCATATAGTACTATGAAAATTTTTGTGAGTGAATATATGTTGGGCCAAAGTTCCAACATATTGAATAAATTAAATCTAAACGTTTTGAGAATTTCTGTATATCCTTCCACCACAAGAAATAGTCCCAAGTGAGTCTTATTTCTTGCTGATTTTGAGAGCGTTTTCTTTTGAATTGAATGTTAAAAATTTCCATTCTTTAATTCAAATATGTTATAGAAATTAAATTGTAATTAATAATTTTGTTATTAAAGGTTCTGACCAAACTTTTCTCAAAAGCTGAAGAGTGACATACCTTAAGAACGTATTGTAGTTGATAGGGTGATAAAGATTGATTGATTGTATGTTGTTACACGCCCCGTTTGAGAATTTTTCACTCATTTATAGAGACGTCACCTTATACCAGTGAAGGGCTTAAAATTTGGACCTTTACTCGGCACTCAGGGCCATGGAGCATTGAGGGTTCATTTTCGTGCCAACGCCTACCGTGACACGGGGCCTCGATTTTTAAGGTCTCATCCGAAGGACCCGCAACTTTAACTTCAAAGTGCCGAGCGCTTAATTGGCGAAGGAACAGTTGCTACCTAATTTTTTATCGACTTAGGTCAGTCGTCGCGGCCGTGATTCGAAACACAACCTTTCGATCAAGGAGCGAGCGCTCTACCGATTGAGCTACGGATGATAAAGAGAAATACATATATTATTCATTTACTCAATCAATTAGGTTTAATTACAATGTTAAAGAAGCGAACAATTTCCAAAATTAAGAGACAATGATCTGTGATCTAGAAAAAAAATTACACGTATATTAATTCGGATAAAAACTCTGCTCTGGTAGCAATTAATGATTCAGTTAATTATCAAAAGTAAAATAAGGTTACATTATTCAAAATTCATAATTATTCGATTTCTATACATATATAAGTAGTAAAATTTTTATGATGATAATTCCGAATTAAGCCATTAAATTAAAATAATGTTCAAAATGCCATCCTTTTCTTACCATCCAATCGGATAATTCGTGTGTATGACGTCACATACGAAAGGGTGTTATTTTAGTTATTATATTAATAATCATTTGCATTTCAGACAGAGCTTAAAAATGATGATCAAATCTCCACGTATATGTAATTTTCAAAATTCCCCCTATTCATCTATGTAAAGAAAAAAATAAAGGGAAACCAAAGCACAAGTTTTTAAATTAATTTATAGCAGAAACTTAATATTTTAAATTATTATTATTGTTTTCATTCAAAATGTTAGTTATTTTTATTTGTAAGAAAACGTCGATATTTTAATGTATTTATTCAATATTTTAAATCTTTTTTAAAGCAAAAACCCAGTATTCGACAGAAGTCTTTTCTTTGGTCTAAGGATCATACAAATTGAAGCTACAGCCTTAATAGGCATAGGCTATCTCTTGACTTAGCAAATTTACTGGGGCGCAATTTTAACATCATTACCTCCTCCTTTAAAATGATAAAGATTGTCACACTTTGGGACAGAGCATTCAAAAATTCCCAATAATACATGTACATGTATAATTATATAATTGACTCTTGATTAACTACAACTGCACTCTGCTGCTAGCATAGTAAGGACAAAGTTAACAAACAAGAAATGTATAAATCTAGAAAAAAAAGTACCCATATATGTGTAAAGCTGATTTAACGTGTTAAATATGTATCTGGTGTCTGATAAAAGAATAGGCATTTTTATGGAAAAACAAACATAACAAAACACGCTCTATTTACATGTACATATGCAGTTGTACGAGGGGTTATTAAAAAGTTCGTGGATTGATGCGATAAAATTATTACTACTGTATAAAGGTTTTGCTTACAAAAGGGGTTTCCTTCTTAAGTATAGTCATGTTCAAGAATAATATTTTTCTGCTTACAAAACTTTGGCAATATAACGCTATAACAAGATGAACCAAACAAGTCTATTTAGACTCTGGAGCATAAGTGCAACTCTTACATAGGACGTCATGTGACGTCCAAGTATAGACTGAGTATTATGCTGTTTGATGAAATTAAAAAAGTGTAAGCTATTTAATGGTAAAGTTTGTTGATGATACCCAGAAATATATGTGTAAATACAGCTGTGCTCACACGAACATTTGCACCGTAAAACATATTAGTTTCAATATTTCAGAGCCATGGGTAAATGTTATCTCAGGCATGAAGAGAAAATTGGTCATCTCTTTGGTATGTATGGAAGATTTTTGGCGAGACATCCTGTCAAAGTCCTGGCCATCGCCATCACTGTTAACCTTCTTCTTGGATTAGGCATGCTTCGCTTTGAAGAAGAGACTGGAATCGAGCATATTTACACACCAATTAATAGCCAAGCCTCACAAGACAGGGATAGTTTGAAGGATGTATTCCCATGGAGTCCTGATTTCTATGTGCATAAAGGTTTTTCATTTTACTCAGAAGTGCTTATTTTAACCAAGGACAGAGGAAATATGTTGACGTCAGCATTTTTGGATGACGTAGCCTCTGTTGATAGATTTGTCCGCACCTCGATTTCGATTGCAATTTCTGAAAAGGAGTATAAATTCGAAGATCTGTGCGCTAAAGCAAATGACACTTGTGTAGTAGACGGTGACATTTTTTTAAGCAGTGATTTTAAGCAAATGATGTTGTCAAACAATATCACATTCCCAATATTCAAAGAAAAATCTCTTAGTTCTCTTCTGGCAAAATCGTCCACCTTGGATGGATTTCTGACATCTGCAATTGGAGTAAAACTCACATATCACCTCCTTAGCAAGTATTCAGAAGAATGGGAAAAGGCTTTCATTGAAGCTATTCCAGGTGCTATTGTGAATGTTTCAGAATTGGCTTTCTCGTATTCTTTGGCAGCAGATAATGAACTGAAAACCAACATAGAAGGAGACATAATTTTCTACTGTGTAACATTGTCGCTTATGCTGGCGTATGCATCAATAGCCACCTCTAAATTGAATTGTAATTTCATAGCAGACAGAGGTCTTCTTGGCCAAGCAGGGGTTCTAGCGGCCGTTCTGTCGATTTTATCTTCCTTTGGTTTTCTGAGTCTCATTGGAGTTAAATTCATTAGTATTGTTGGCGCTATGCCATTCCTTATCATAGGTAAGTAGACATAATATTCACACATTCTACTGAATTTTAGGTCATCTGAGTTATCTATTGCTATCTGTTTTGTCCTTTCTCGTGGGTTGCTCCATCCGTCGGTCGTAAACTTTCCTCTTCTTTTGAGTCCTTCAGGAACCAATTTCAACCAAAGGTGGTGTAATGGTTTGGGCAGTAGATGGCGGCCTGGTATCTCAATGGTTAGAGCACCTGACTAGTGATGCAAGGGTTCCGGGTTTGATTCCCAGTCAAGTCATACATTCTCTCCTTTCCTGTTACATTGGTACATAGCATCTTTGGGTAAAGGGAAACAAATATTGTGAATTTCAGTGCTCACCCCTCTCCCTTGTGCCTGAGAGATGTTAAAAAGTTAATGTAATCTTCCTAACTCCTGGATATCTGGCAGGAGACTGTTTGCATACTTAATCATAATACTGAGGAAACCAAATTTGAGAAATCCATGGCCCAAGGTTCGACTGGATCCTAGGGTTGGACAGTTAGTGAAATAAAATATTGAAAACATATTGTATCTTTAAAAAATCGTTTCTTTACTCATGGGCTTATATCTGGGAACATTGTTTGAATAAAGATTCAATGATGATTCAAAATAGGGTTTTTAGTCACATGAGACCAGAAATCCTTTTATAGGTGGGACTTCAGGTTCATTGATACTCTGATAAGACAGATAACTTTAACTGGTATAAATGACTATTATTGCTTGATAAAAAAAATTGAAGTAAATCTACTATTTCTGTCAAAATAAGGCCTCCCAAGATATGCTTAAATTTTGTATATTTTAATTATGAATTATAATTTTTTTAATAATTATAAGCATTAGGGAAATATTTTATATGAGTGGACAGAGGGATGATAAACCTTAAGTGGTCAGAGCCACAGAAACTCATGGTACTCAGGTGATCATCTAGGCTTATGGACCTTTAGGATACTGACACAATGATCCTGCTAGGGCAATTTTAATGTTAATCAACATGCATTTTTAGATTTATATAAACCTAATCTTTACAGGAATCGGTATCGATGACGTCTTTCTTCTTATGTCTGGCATAGCTGAAGCTGAATCGATAGACAGGTCCAGTGTATCGGATAGAGTTTACCACATGATGAAAACCAGTGGAGTTGCAATTACAATTACATCAATAACTGATTTTCTGGCCTTTTTAATCGGGGCCAGTTCAGTTTTTAGAAGTGTCAGAAACTTTTGCATTTACACAGGTAACTCAAATTTTGATTGGAATTTCGTGGTGTATGTGTTTTAAGGTATGTCACTCCTGACATTAGTTATATCAAGGATTTTTTTAGTAGTATATTTTAGATAACTTCTTATAGCATGACTCAAAATTGCAAAGAAAACTTGGGGTCAGTGTGCATCTTATTGAGCAAAGGTACAATAAACTTGACTTTTTCGCACTTAAATTGCAACATTTCGGTTTTTCACTTTAACCTTCATCCTATTTTAGCAGATGTAATCATGGCAATAAATATAACCTGATTTTATATAGTAAAACAGTTTGAAATATATTAAGTATTGAAAAATCCTGCAAATTAATGTGCGTAACTTATTGTGTGATCTTTTTGCACTGATAAAATTTCATATTTTGGATATAAAAAATCTAAACAGACAATAAAATGTTGTACATTCCTCATTTTACGTGAGTACTTAATATCGCGAAATGGCCCGTCGCGAGAACAATAATTCGCGAGTAGACGTTTGATCTAGATATTTTACATGCTTTTCAGCACCATAAAATTAATGATAATAATTTTTTATTTCGCGGGTATTGCTTCTCGCAAAATTACGCGATAATTAATTTCTCGCGTGCATTGTATACTAGTATTTGGGAATCTACAGTATTTTCTTGTATCTAGCTTTGAGTTGAGAGTATCGTGTATTTTCAAATTTTGAAAGAAAAAGTTGAGGCCATGAAGTAAATTTTGAGATATTGATCAAAACATGGGTTTTTCAGGCAAAAAGCAATATGTAAAATTTATATCTTGACTTCTTCAATATATTTCCATTTCTTGGCATAGTCTGCTGAATGAATGTGAAAACTTTGTTCTCTTGTTATAGAAATATTAATTGAAACCTATATTTAATATTCTTAGAATATAATACCGAAATCATTCTTGTTTCTTTATGATTTTGTGACCAGTTTTAAATCAAATAATGTATAAATTGCAGAAATGAAATATGTTATTAGAATTGAATAGCAATAAAAAGATTTGCAGTTAGAGGTTCTGACCAAACTTCTAAAAAGATACGATCGAGTGACATACTTAAGACAAACATCCGAGAGCTAATGTACAGTTCCATGTTAAATTAATTTTTTTTTTAATAAAAGACTAGTCATGAATTATCCATAATTTTGAACAAATAACCTTAAAAATCTCCCTTTTTTCTTTTTTTTAATTAACTAAATAATCTAAGATAATGTCAAAATTTCATAAAGTTTTGTTATCTATTGAAATTAATGTCAAACAACATTAGACAATAGCAGAAATGAACACGCAAAAAAAAAAAAATAGAATTAAAATCAAAACTGGATTGATCCCAATGAAAGTTTTGTATTTAAAAAATTGAATTTAAAATAATATTTTGCAAATCAAAGGTTATAGTTTTTAACTTAGATCTCCAATTTAACCAAGTTTTTGATTGAACACAAAAAATAAACCCTTTTGAAAAGATTTGTTCTTGCGCATTAATTGAAATCAATGTATAATTTGCTTTTTCAGGGGTATCCGTCCTGTTTTGCTACCTCAATCAAATAACAATTTTCTGTGCTTGCATAGTTATCAATGAAAGAAGGATTAAAAGCAATCGCCATTGTATAGTTTGCTGTTTAAAGACTAAGGACATGGACTCACTAAGGGAAGATGGAAAAACCGGATTGTCACTCTACGCATGCGCTGGATATGCACCAAAACGACGAGACGACGTTGACAGTCTTTTGGAGAGATATCCAAAAAGACTCATTCAAAAGATAATGAATTATACAGCGTTAAAGATTGCAATTATTTTCATTTTTGCAGTTTACTTAGGATTTTCTATTTATGGTGCCATTCATCTTGAAGAAGGTCTATCTCTTCGAAATCTTGCCCCAGAAGAGTCTTTCTATTTCAAATTCAACAGTTGGTTAGAAGATTACTTTACAAGAGAAATTGTTATGTCTTTTAATGTGAAAACTACCCAGACATATTCATCTTCGCGGACACAGGAAACCCTACAATCAGTGCTAACCAGAGCAAAGGAAGACAAAGACATCGATTCTTCTTTTGAAATAAACTGGCTAGCGGCATTTAAAAAATCACCATTGTATGTCAACTCCTCAGAGACTGCATTCGTTTCTGCTCTACAAACATTTTTGACAAATGCTCCTATTTACGCCAGTGATGTAGTAATTGACTCCTCTGGAACGAGTATTACATCCTCTCGATTTTTTCTGAAAACCAATAACATGAAGACTACAAATGATCAAGGTCAGATGATGTTGCGCATGCGAGAAGTGACTAAAGACTCTGATATTTCAATGATTGTGTATTCTCGTGCGTTTATGTACTTCGAACAGTTTATCCAAGTTCTTCCAAGCACCTTGCAAACTGTTGGAATCGCTTTTGTGGTTATAATAGCAGTTACAATCTTCTTCATGCCTCATCCAATCCTAATCGTCCTTGTCGGGGTAACACTAATGACTATCCTCCTTGGAGTGTTTGGGTTCATGTATTTCTGGGATATCTCTCTGAGCTCTATAACCATGATACACCTCGTCATGGCCGTGGGGTTTTCTGTCGATTTCAGTGCCCACATATGTCACGCTTATATTAATGTAGACGCAGACAACAGAGCCACAAAGGTTAACCTCGCTTTGGACAGATCCGGGGGACCAATATTTAACGCAGCGTTTTCCACACTTCTTGGTATCTCGGTCCTAGGATTTGCCAACAGCTATATCTTTGAAACGTTTGGCAAATTAATGTTTCTTGTTTTATTTTTCGGTTTGACTCATTCAGTTCTTTTAATTCCCATTGTGCTGTCATATATTGGACCTTTGAAACAAAAGAAGGAAGTCAAGAAAGATATAGAAATCTTCACCATACAAAAACAAAATTCAAATGCTTTATCTACTTGATTACAGAATAATTTGGTTATTTGTTTGTTTGTTTGTTTTGTTTTTGCATATTTTTTTAATTAACTCTCAGTTTGGAACATTTTACAAAGATCATAATTGTTTTCAATCATCTAAAGTATCATTAATATTTGTTATTGATATGTTTCTATCAAAATTTGTTTCAGTATTCATAATCAGTGTGACAATTATTAATCGTTTTTATCATTAAATTTGAAAAAAAAACGTTTTCTTAAATATTTTCTGCTGTTATATGACTCGGGTTAAGTCTCGATTACAAGTACAAATGACGAAAATACGAGGACTGTCCCAAAAATCGCGAACTTTTTAAATATTTTTTTGTTCCACTGATACCATAATGTTACATGTAAGAATTAACATGCATCATTACCAACATTTTTTCAATATTAGAAATTTCAACGAAATATCTCTATAAAAAACATTTTCCTCTTAGTTAAACCAGTCTAACATATAGGTGTCTTCGCAATACCAACGGCGTCAAAACGGTTGCTAATTTATGGCGTTTGAAAATGTGTCTAGGAATAGTGCCTCTTTTCTTTCGAATTACAAAGAGTTTTTTGAAGCAGAAATTCGACAATACATTGATTTTTAGTCGATGGCAAAATTAATTCTTTAAATAGAAAGCTTCAGAACTCTGATCATGAACTTCTGGAGTATTAAACGGCGATCCCCACGTATAAGGTCAAGCTCTTTACGTTTCAGTTTGTCATTTTTGGGGTCTACCAAGTGCCTCTACAGTCTAATAAGTAAAGTTTTCATGGAATCTCTTGTTTCAAGAACAAATGAGTGTCCAAGACATCTATGTGTGTCATTTTAATGTTTCCATCCCTTTTCCAGTATGAACAGGAGTTACAACCCGTTCAATACAATTCTGAATGATAATTTGGTGCGCTACACTTATGTCTAACTTCACCATTTTTTGCAATGTCTAACGGAAATGTATGCATATATAACGTCATATAATTGCCACATTTGATAATATATTAATTAATTTTTCAAAAATTAGTACTCCAGATCATAGAGTTTTTAATCGATGTACATTTTATCACATTATTGTTTCTACAATCTGGTAAGACCCAAAACATCCAGGACATTGCTATTTCTAAAAGTGAAGAAATGGCTCTGCGCCAACTACCGATATATATAACTTCCTTTAAATGCCGTTTCTAATCTTATATTATTAAGTAAAAATAAGGAAAATATCATTTCAAAACAATGTTCCAAAAATGAATAATTGTGGCCGGGTAGTTTATGAATTATTGCGTTTTGGGGACAACACTCGTATTTACCAAATAAACACATGCTTTCAAAGACGTACCATATAATATCGATTTAAGAATTTGATCGTTAAATATAATGAATCTTTTTTAAAAAACGTGTCCAGTAATATTGTACGAGTACTATAAATACATTTATATCGTGCATGTAATAATCTTTCAGTCCATGTAAAAATGTCAATCACGGTTTTTCCTGCGAGTTTTCCGTTTCGAATCTGAATACTGTATTTTATCCTTTTCACAATTACTTTTGAAAGAGAGACAATTCATAATGTGGCTTATCAGAAGAGTTTATATTTTATTTTTAAAGGATAATACAGTGTATTATCTGATACCAGGCAGGTTCTTGTACTCCTTAAGAGGAAATAATCAGGAATTGAGAATATCAGATCTGTTTTAACTCTTCCGGTATTTTTAACATAAGAATTCGAAAAAACGCAGAAAATCCGTCTAAGAATTCATGTTAAAATTAACCTTCCCCAAAGCATTCATGCATGACTTGAATTTTCTCAAATTACTCATTATTAATTTATTTTTTTTTTTAATTTTAAATTTCCCGATATGTTTGAAATGAATAAAAGTCCAGCATTCATATAGATATAAAATATGTGTGACATTTAATACATTATTATAAGTAAAAAACGTTTGTTGGATACATCATGAAACATATGTAACAGAAAAAAATCTGATTTAAATACAATTAATGAAATGAAAGGGTTATAATGTACCTGCAAAGCAATTATTTTCTGAAAGCTTTGATATGAATCAACTGTGATTGATTAAAACAATTTAAAGAAACTTCAATATCATGTCATTTTAAATTCTTTCAAATGTTATCTACATACATGCACTGTACATTTCACTTGTATTCCTGGTATATGAGATACAAACAATAAATATGTTTGGGGAAAAATTGTTCACTTTCCATTCCTCTGATGGGTCGCAAACAATAAATGATTGACAAACAACAGTACAAATGAACAAAGATACGTCACATTTTACGAGAGGGTTAGTACATTCAACCAACTCAGTAAACGAGAACATTTCAACCATACATAGTTAAGAGATCAGACATATATAAATTTGTTGAGAATGATTGATTGATTGATTGTATGTTGTTTTACGTCCTATTCGAGAATTTTTCACTCATATAAAGACGTCACCATATACCGGCGAAGGGCTTCAAATTTTGACCTTTACTCGGCACTTAGGGCCATTGAACAGTGAGGGATCTTTATCGTGCCAACGCCTGCCGTGACATGGGGCCTCGGTTTTTAAGGTATCATCCGAAAGACCCGCAATTTTCACTTCAAAATGCCGAGCGCATGGCGAAGGAACAGTTTGCTCCTATTTTTTATCGATTTAGATCAGTCGCGGCTGAGATTCGAACTCACGACCTTCCGATCACGGAGCGATTGAGCTACAGTGAACGGTCTGTTGAGGATGAGTTTCAACAAATGAGACCATGCTAGGTGTTTGATTTATAGGATGAATCAACACTATTTTTCATGCAACAAAAACAACTGCACCAAATATATCAATTCTGGATATGAGAACACAATGAAAATTATTCCATCTATAACAGGGTTATCCATCGTTTGAAATTTTACTGTGTTGCAGACTTTTCTTGAAACACGAATATTCGCCGCAATTTCGCGATGAAATTCGCAAATGAACCACTATTTATTATAATTACAAATTTATATACACACAACATTTTGAATCACTTATTCGTTACACAAATGCCATGGTAACCGACGTGCATATCAATAAAATTTAAAAAAAAAATAATGGATATTTTAAACAATTAGAATGTCTCCATAAAATAATGTACAAACATCAATTGAATGATTACAGACCGATGTTTGACTCACAGTGCCGACATAATTCTAGAGACATGGTTATGAAGTAAAGACATATACTTATAATAAATCTTTAAATTTAAAATAATGGTTATGAAGTAAAGACATATATTTATAATAAATCTTTAAATTTTAAAATAATATTTTAAAACGCAACTAGCAATTATACGATTACATGGAAGTGTGGAAAAAATTGTCTTTGTTCCTTCATGCGTAAAGTCCAGCGAGCTCGAGGGTCTAGAAGATTTTTGTTTGTTTGTTTATTTTCTTTAAGCCAAAGGCTCATCAGATTTTATACACAATATAGAGCATACAAAATAAAGCAAGGTGAAGCAAGACAAAGTGTCCTAATTAAGAGATAATTAAGTGCTCTCCCTTAAAAATTGAAAGACGGTAGATTTGTTTGATTAAAGTCAAGGTTAGAGAGAATTTATGTTCTGATTTTCTGATTATCACAGATCTTACTGTGTCGCAAAATTTTTACTATGTCGCACACATAAAATTTGAATCGTTACTGTGTCGGGGAAATTTTTACTGTGTCGGGACCGACACAGTAAAACAGCTCATGGAGAACCCTGTATCATCATCGTTATACATGTATAGTGAAATTGTTAATTTCCACTGTTATCAGATAGCAGCAACACTGGCGCAAATAAAGTACAAAGTAAAGGAATAAAAAGAATGAAGCCTGAAAAATTTGGAAAAAGCAAGATTAAAGCTGGAATAACCAAGATCAAAGCTGGAAAAACCAAGATCAAAGCTGGAAAAACCAAGATTAAACTTGGAAAAACCAAGATTATGGAATTTCCAGGAAAAAACCAACTTTAAGGTGGCAAAAATCAACTTTAAAGTAGGAAAAGCCAGCTTTAATTCAAAATTAAAAAACCCAAGATTAACATTGGAATTACCACCCTCAAAGTTGGAAAAAAAACAACTTAAAAGCTAAAATTTCCAACTGAAAAAAATGTTAGGTGTAACGTTGGCCGTACAGGTTGGCTATTTCTTAAATCTTTTATTATGTCGTCCATAACGCAAGTCGGGAAGACATATTGTTATCGCCAGACCTATTATTTTTTCCTAGCATTTCCTTGGAGAAGACTAGGACAACCCTAAAGACTTCTTTTCAAAATGACGATCAGCAACGATAGATATACGAAATATATTTTTATTTTTCAAAATGACTTCTGTTACCATGTAAACAAAACTACTAAACAAAATGAAACCTGCAAATTTAGAAAACACAAGAGGGCGGGGCTTTCTTATCACTCAGAATCATTTTCAATTTCTTTTTAAAATATGATTGTCTAACATATCCGATGTAGCTGTGACTTGTTTTTTGAATAAATTATCCATAGATTTTGAAAATATTCACAAATAATGTGTTTTATTTTTATAAATAACTTTTAAGTAGAAAAAAATTAAAATGTCTTAAAGATCTGTAAGTAAAATTTTGGAATGGCATTCCTCCTTAAATTCAGTAAAAGTTTAAGCCTTTAAAATAATGTTTAATTTCATGTTTTTTTTTTTTTTTCATGCCAGAATCCTGGTATTTTGTGGATGCAAAACGGTCAAATATGTTTGACGGCGCTTTTTTTTTTTTTTTTTTTTTTTTTTTTTTTTTTTTTTTTGTCGCGCGCTTAGGGTACTATTTCTTGTACTGTACCCCCCCCCCACCAAAAGCATGGCATTCGTAATTTAACCATATACTTTACTCCTGATTGTTACTTCATCTAACTTTCAATGGTCACAAACAGCCCTTTGTTGCCATGAAATGTCAGTTTCATAAAAAAAAATCACATTCCACCATATATGTTGGTTTCATGCTAAGTTTAAAAACAGAACT